ACCAGTAATATTTGGGGTCACAAGTTTTTGTCATGGATATTTTGTGGGTCAGAAGACAAAAAGTTTGGGAACCACTGATCTAGATGACTAATATATTGACTTATAGACTCTTTCTTGAAATTGAATGAGAATAACCATGTTTTATATTTTACCATCTGCACTTTAAACACATATTTAACACACATTCTACATATACGCTCCTGTCAAAATACCAAAGGTTTTCAGTGTCCAGACACATGCATTTGTCTTTTTGACACTAGTCCACTTGAGGTGAACCAGCTGGAGTACAGGAGGGTGAAAGTACGTGGATGCTACAACCACTCCAAGGAGCTGTACCTCATGCCTCGCTCACTTGTCAACCCGGAGAAAGAAGCCAGAGAGGGGGGAATTTTTTCCTCGAGGCCAGAGGTCGGCGCGAACGTCATCACCCCGTTCCACTGCTCTGATCTCGGGTAAACGAATCCATCAAATGCTAGTTCTAACAACACAGCTACAGCCACACTAAAGCGACTTGCTGTTTGTTTCTGCAGCATCACCATCCTGGTGAACAGAGGGTACGTCCCAAAGACGAAAATAAGACCAGAGACCAGGATGAAGGGCCAGGTTGGTGTTTAGCACATTTTTAAGCCTAAATATTCAGTCTTAACCTTGAAATATGTCGTTTCTCTGATGTTTTTTTATTGAATAACACAGAGATGAGATGTTTGGTTTGCTTTTACTTTTCTTTTTTTGTGGAAGGAATAATTTTCACGATCCACAGTTTGGTACATTGTTACATTTTAGGAATCTAGTCTGTGAGATAGATCTTTTTTTTTCCCTACAAGTCTTATCTGATTTGTTCTGTCTACATCCAGGTGGAAGATGAGGTGGATGTGGTTGGAGTCGTCCGGCTGACAGAGGCACGTAAATCATTTGTACCAAACAACGACATAGAGAAGAATCGGTGGTTTTACCGTGACCTGGAGGCTATGAGCGACGTCACCGGAGCTGCACCCATCTTGATTGATGCAGACTACAGTAAGGCCTCCATGCTCTGAATAAACCTGTTTTCCTTTGTTTTACAAAGCACAGAACAGAAAAAAACTACCTACATATAATCATTTGGAGTATCTTGTGTTCAGGCAGCACAATTCCTGGCGGACCAGTTGGTGGACAGACCAGAGTTACACTGAGGAATGAACATTTGCAGTATATAATAACATGGTATTTGGTTTGTTTTCATCATACATTTTTTTAATCTTTACAGATTTATTACAAATAAGTCTCTCTTTGTTAGGTATGGCTTGTGTGCAGCTACGTCCTACTTGTGGTACGCCAAGTTCATCAAGAAAATTAAACTGTGAAGCAGTTTCAACAAATGTCTCGTAAGTCAGTGTGTTAGTTTTCCTAAGAAATAAATCTATATAAAAGAGTAAATGGTCTTTTTTGTCTGAATGCATTAGAATACTGAACTCATCTATTATGAAGTGTTTAGAAATTCCTTGTTGGAATCAGTGAAATACTTTTTATTTCAGCACTTTGATCTGTAAAGCTCAGTTGGCAAAAACACCAGGAAATTTTGAGTCTGCAAAGTACGCTCAACTTTGATGTGAACTGATGTAAAATGGCATTACTAAATCTTATCTTAGTGCTCAAGGTTCTTGAAATTAACCCAGTTTTAGGCCATAGTTTTATTTCCAGATATTGAATTTTACATCTTTAAAAACAAACACCTGCCTCCCATTTGTAGTGGTTCATAACTTCAATTATAATTTTTTTGAACTTCCTGTAGGCTCTCTTTGTAAATTTGAGAATGTTGACATAAAAACAAGAAATTTGCACTTTTCAGCCTTCCTTAGTTTCCCTGCCTCAAATGTTTTCCATTAGAATTCAAATCAATGTAACTTTAATTTTTAGTAACTTTTTGGAACAAGTAGGTTCTAAATTTGTATAATGATCTAAACTTTTGAGATTTCTAGAAACTCTGAACTCAAATAAAAAAAATTACCCAATATTCAAGAATAGTACCCTCTAGTCCACAAATTAAAACCAGCTTATTTTAAATGTGCTATATTTCTGTATTCACGATCTCACTGTAATAAAACTGAAACCCACAATTTCACTGAGCAAAAACTGTAACACCTTTATAAAAAGAACAATTTAATTTTAAGTTTTCTTGTTGACATTTTAATACAATGACTGCATGGCACGAAAAAGAAACTGAACACAAAGTCTATATTTAGGACGAACATTTTTATTCCAAACATTTTAACCAAGCTTTGTTGCCAGTTCCTTGGCCTTTGCCTTCTCCAGCTTAGTGAAACGAGCTGTAGATTTAGGACCCAAGATGCCACCTCCCCAATGACGACGGATCTGTAAGACACGTTTATATGATAAATACAAAGTAAAATCTGTTTTGTAAAAGTAAAACATTAACGGTAACACTAACCTCTTCGTATCTGTCATTGTAGTTGGTCTTGATGGCTTCCACAAGCTTAGCAAGTGCACCTTTGTCCTCACTAGGGAATAAAATCAAAGCCAGTCACAACATGCACTTACTTTTCTGTACCTCCTCCAGTTTGTGATTGGAGGAAAAGTCTGAGCTACATTAACAAGTTTAAATTTTTATTCACTCATAAAAAGTGTTTATAAATCAAATTCAACCAGGGATAAAACAATAATTATTATAAAGATGTTTTGCCACGTCTGAGTTCAGTTTGTTTCCACTTACGGGTTAATCTGTGTGAAAGCCACTGAAGTGCACGTCTTCCTGTGCACCAGTCTGCCCAGCCTAGCCTTGCCCTTCACGACACAGTAGGGGACGCCCATCTTGCGGCACAGAGCAGGCAGGAAAACAACAAGCTGGAAAAGCAGGAGAAGTTTTAGTTGGAAACTATGAACCGAAAACTTAACTGGTCTTGACACGAGCACTGCGTGTAAAGATCACACAAAAACCTCGTTTAATTTGTGGTCTCTGCTCAGGGTTAAAAAGCTCGTGTTTTAATCCACACAGAGGATTCAGGTGAAGAAATTCAAACATCATTGCCAGTGACCACTTTTTATTAAAAACACACAACATTATTCAAAACTACTGCATTGATCTCACCTCAATTGGATCCACATCGTGGGCGATGACGACCAGCTGGGCCTTCTTGCTCTCCACCAGAGAGGTAACGGTGTTCACGCCTGCAGTGAAGGGAAACCATTAACTGCTGATCTGAACACGCTGGTCAGAAAAACCCTTTAATGCAGTGGCCGATGCTCAGGGTTAAAAAGCTCAAAAAGGCATCAAAACAAGTTTCAGGTGAAGAAATTCAGGTCATCATTGCATCCTGGCCAAATCAGAGAAGACTACTCCAACTTAAGATAAAAAAAAAGGTAAATATATGTAGAAAAGATGTTTTCAATTTACAGAACCATGTCTAAGAACACTTGTCCAGTGTGATCAACATAAATGATACACCTCACCTGCACGTAGAACAGGAGGCCTTTTGGTGGGGGTATCTCCCTTTCCAGCTGCCTTCTGTTCAGCCCGAGCCAGCAGCCTCTTCTTCTTCTCCTGCTTGGTCTCTGGTCTGTACTTGTGGGCCAGCTTGAACAGCTGAGTGGCTGAAGTGGGAACATGAGACGTTTTCAAATAAATCTCTTAATGTGAAACGACGACAAAAACAACAAAACAGTATTTCGAGCATGTGCATCAGTGATCTTGGTGGAAACTGTCAGCATCGCTAATCTGATAGCAAATAATTCACATCATCTGCAAAGCAGGCATGGCAAAGGCTCGAGCTCAAAACTGCAAAAACGTACTCTGACAAATCAAACGTTATGGTTTTACCAGTCTGGCGGTCCAGAGCCTGGGTGAACTGGTTGATTGCAGGGGGAACCTTCAGACGCTTGTAGAGGATGGAGCGTTGCCTCTGCAGGCGAATGTAACGAGGCCATTTTACAAAGCGCGTCAAATCACGCTTGGGCTGAATATCCTGGCCTGTGGAAAGCAGAAACCGATGTTTTAAATCTAATACTTGCTAACACCAGCATTTATTCAGTTAAATTTAAGTGCATCAGCGATCTTGGTGGGAGGTTGTCTTCAGTGGTCTTAAGATAGCAAATATTCTTTTACATCATTTGCACCAACACAAACCCTTTAGCGTCCTTTGTCCTGACAATTACTCACCGATGCCGTAGTTCTTTGGCCTCTTCTCAAACAAGGGGTTGACGACTTTTTTGGCCTCGTGTTTTTTGGCCACAGAAGGGGCAGGTGCCACCTTCTTCCCCTTAGCCTTCTTTCCCTTAGGCTGTAAAGAAATAAATACAATCAAATGTTACACAGACCTTAATCTACAAGAGCTCATTATAAATCTTAAAAATCAACCTAAATAAGTCATTGCACTGATCCAACAAAACCTACTTAGCATTTTGCTTTGCACCATGATGTATTAGCTTTTAAAAAGTCAAAAGCGCGTTAGGACGATTATAATATGGAGGAATAGCTACAACACATGAGGTAAATATGCTAAAGCTACATGGTTATTGAATGGATTTAGATTTCGTTAAAGTATACAAAACTTGCATTGTACAAAAAAAGACCAATACAACCAAAACATAATGGGGAAAACATTGAACCTACTTCTAAGTTGTGATAAATGTAAAGCTAGCAGGTCGATGCTAAGGCCACAGCAGAACAACTTAGCCAAAGCTAACGAAAACACTCGTCATACTCCAACTTTGTCCAGCAACTCTTTCACTAGGTGAATTAAAATGAAAAGCAGACCCAAACAACAAATACTGGAGAAAATCATGACTCTAACGTCACCGTCCTGTTAGCTTTAGCCACTAGCATGCAATTACAGCGTTGGTGGTACCGGCTACATTTTAGTCCAAGTTTTACCCACTAACATCATATCATCCATTAATATAGACACCAAACTGACGGAATTACTTAATACATTTCATTGTAAACTTCCACGATGCAAATATCTATCATACAAAGAAGGATGCAGACAGATAAAACAGATTGACTATTCTCTCATAAGAGTCAGCTATGTACCCACCATGTCGGTTCAGGCAGAAAGGAAGAGCGGAGGATTGTGGGTAGAGGAAATACCGCGAGAGTTGCGTCGTTAGATGAGCGCTGACCCGGGGTTTCACCTCTCTGCTCAGGAAAACCCATTTCTATGAGAAAACCCATATGATTTGATACAGACTGTACTGTGCTGCTGATAGCTGCGTTTTCATTACATTTTGAATCTTTTTATTATTATCATTAGAAAAGCCAGTATAGTGTTAATAACAAGTGAGTACATTTGACAATATTACAAATTTCAGAACAGACCGTGAAGTGAGTAGTTTTTGTGTTTTGTAAATAAAAGCAAGACAGTTATAGCAAAGGCTAGCCATCATATTTAAAACAGCAAGGACTTAGCTATGTTTTCTTGAATTATGTTAATTTTCCAGGGTTTCCACGGGTCCTTGAAATCCTTGAAAGTTTGTGAATTAAAAAATGATTTCAAGGCCCTGGAAAGTTTGTGAAAACAGCCAAATATTGCACTTGTCCTTGAAAGTCCTTGAATGTTTTTTGGGGATTGAAATTCTCTAGTCACATGACAGATTTTCATCATCTTTTTTAAAAATTATTTATAAAATTAAATTTAAAAAAATTACATTTGTTGCGGTGGATAACTCAGGATTACGGTAACAACTTCTATGATGTACAGTTTTTCATTGCATTTACATGATATTAAACCTGTTTATTGATAACTTTCTGCAGTAGGTAATTGCGTTTGTGCGACTCTTTAATTTGAGGAAATTGGTGCTGGAAAGTCCTTGAAAGGTCCTTGAATTTGATGTTGACCAAGGTGTGGGAACCCTGATTTTCTTATTTGTAGTGGAGACATTTGAAATGGAGGGTATTACAAGTATGAACAAAATATTTACATAAAATGATCACAATAACATCAACACCAGAGTCCAAACTGTCCATGAAATAAAGAACATCCTTACGTGAAAGAAGGTAAATTAGAGATTTTATTTTGATTCCGAATCTGCTGCTGAGAACTTGTTTACGACGGAGTACGTCCAATAACAGAATAAAGTTCATAAATAGACATCTGTGAGGCTCACTGAGGGTTTGGAAATTAGTGAGAAATAAGGCAATATGTTAGATCTTGAAATTGTAAATAAAAAGAAGACATTGCAGCTGTCCAATGAAAGTCAATGTTTAAATAATTATATTTAAAAAAGCTATTTGAAAGTAGAGAGTTAAAATATTAAATAAACAATCTTTTGAGCAGGTTACAGATGAATTTGAAAAGACAACAGAAACTTGTAACAAATATGACAATGGCTTAAAGGAAGTCTGATCATCTTGGGAACAAGCTGAAGACAGAAAAGACCAGTTAAGCTTGGTTACAAGTAAAAAAAAAAAAAAAACGCAAATTCATGCCAGACGGAAGGAAAGTTTTGAGAACACAAAAAATAATAGTAAGAAAAATAAAATAAAAATTTGAACATTTTGCCTACGTTCTGCTGTGCTCATGCAAGAAATGTGCAAAAAATTTGGATGGGGGAGTTAAAAGCTACTCTAAAAATGTCAGTTAGCAACTGGACCTACCCCATCAGTGACCTGCCTCTTCGTTCTGAAAAGTAATCATTCACTCACACCCTCAGAGAGGCTTGCCAGCTCAGATGGGAGATGAAAGACAAAAACACATGCCACATTGAACATATTCAAAGAATAACTTTATCAAGTTAAATTTGAATAAAATGATTTGAAACATAAACATGACCATGAACTGCATAAACATTTGGTTCAGAAACCAAGCAGTCTGATCACTGACTTACAGCAACTCTGGTTTTACAGACCAAAAACATGGCCCGGGTCGCCTTAAATTAATAAATAAACACACACTTGTTCTGAAAAAAGTCATTGAGGTGATTTCTAAACCACTAACATATATTTCCAATTTATCATTTCAAACCGTTACATTTCCAAATAAAATGAAAATAGCAAAAGTTGTAGAAACGGACGTGCATCGCAAACCCACCCATACATATTTGCGTTTTTGACTCCCACCACCCACTGGAACACAAGTTAGGAGTGATCAGGACTCTGTACCACAGAGCAGACAGTGTCCCTACAAACCCAGGAGCCAGGGAGAAAGAGAAATCACACACATGACAGGCCCTGGAGCAGTGTGGTTATCCTGACTGGGCTTTCCTGAAAGCAGACAAGAAACCCTAACAGGACTCCAGCCAACAACCAGGTGAAAATGAAGACCATAAACCACTAGCGGAGTGAATCAGAGCCGGGCCGGGGCGGGGCAAATGACCGGGCCCCTTCATACCAAATAATAAAGCTCATGATAACATAATTTTATACAACATACACACGCCTGCAACAGCAGGGCTTACAAGCTTCAGCACCACAGAGCGACTATGTTTTTGTGAAGTCCATCAAACAGACATGAAGTATAACAAACCAAGAAAGGAAAAAAAAAAACATTCAGCGCTGACTTCAGGTCTAGTTTAGACTTGTAAATTACATATTTTTCTGGTATAAATCTGCTGTTTTACATGATTGTTGAATTAAATTAACATAATTATTAATTTATTGTAAAAACATGACCGATAATCTGTGAAACAGATCCAGTTGGGCTTGCTGTATATCTATTAGTTTCTATGGAGGCTGTGAGCTGTTGTCCTGTTTGGTCTCCGTTTCTGCTCCTCCATGCTGTCACAGACGCTACCTGTGTTCGGCATGGGCGGGGCTCAGTCTAGCGATCTTTATATGGGCGGGGCTTAATCT